TGATTTAATTACTTTGTTCACTGACTGATCATTCTGTTGTTGCGGCCAGACCCTCACTCTCATTCGTGGCATGAATGTTCCCATAGAATTACACATTTTCTCTGTTCAGCCATTGGAGCCGGCTGGCAGACTTTGCCAGAAACTCACGATTTATCACAATCAGCATCATCACAAATTATAGGAAGCATCCAGCAATATGATAACTCCTAAATGAAGTGTCTGGGAGCAGGTCACACCACCAGCCTCGGCTGTTAATCCGTCATATTTCATAGTCAACCTGACACCCCATCCAATTTGCCGCGCCTGCTGCCTTTCAGAGTGCCCGCGTGAGGGTCCCACACCCGCACAGGGACTTTCATCCTTCCAGATGCCCAGCCCGGCCTCGGCGGCCTCCCTGCAGGCCGGACTCCACACTCCCCGCGGCTGTTCACACTGGGGCTCCTCCTTCCTTTCCCTCTGAGGTTCGTGAACTGTAATGTAGCATCTCCTCCGATCCAAATGCAGGCAACAAACCACAGAGCACCAACGAGCCCCATAACCTAGTCACCAGAGAACGCCAGCTGTTTTCACAATGACATGGCCCTTCCTGTAAGTATCCTGGAACACTGTTTGTCACCACTTCCAAACAATGGCAAGCACCCGATCCCCGAGTGGACGGCGTGTGAGGCCGGTGTTCTTCCTGCAGGCCACTCCACGCTTCGGTGTGCAGGTCAAGTGGAGCAGCCCCGGCCTGTCTGAAAACACACTGAGGCCTTCCAAAAATATAATCATCTTTAACTTTCCTGTATATGGAATGCATCATCTTGATGAATGTGCTCGAACCTGTACAAATGTGCTTTCTTATGTTCTAACAACTACATTTTAATATATTTGGCTTGTTGCACACTGCTATGTAGTTCATTGTATGATTTAAAACCATTTTTCCTAGAAGGGATCCGCAGGCTTGGCCAGACTGCTCTAACAATAGAGGCCCAAGCTTTCTGATCCCTGTATTAGAATCCTGTGGCTACTGCTAACAAAGTACCACGACCTTCGTGCTTCAAACAGCAAACATTCGTTCTCTCGAAGTTCTAGAGACGAGAAGCCCAACATCAGCATCCCTGGGCTGAAATCCAGGTGTCATCAGGACCCTTGTCCCTTGGGGAGGCTCTAGAGGAGAAGCCAGTACTGCCTCTTCTAACTTCTGGCAGCTGCCGCGTTCCGTGGCTGATGGCCACATCACACCAATCTCTGCCTCTGCCTTCACGTGGCCTCTCCTGTATGTGCCCTGTCCCTCTGCCTCTTTCCTATAAAAATGCTTCTGATGGGACTTAGGGCCCATAAAAAGGATGACCTCATCTCAAGGTCCTTAACCTAATCATATCTGCAAAGATCTTTTTTCCAAATAAGGGTAACATTTATAGGTTCCAGGAACTAGGACCCGATGTGGTCTGGCGCACCCATTCAGCCCACTGTAGTCCCTACATTTAATTCTTTATTGACCATACAATTTGGCCTTGAGTCTTATGACATAAGGGACATAAACTGACTTCAGAGATGTGACAAAACTGGCACCAATTAAACAGGTATCCTGTCAAAGACCATTGAAATGTTAAGGGTTAAGGTAATGGTGAAAGAAAAGACAAGGCCTTTTAAATTAAGTTTTCCCGGGCTAGAAGAGGAACCGGCCTGTTCTTCACCTCCGGATGAAGAAGTGCACATCGTGCAACCTGCAGCTAGAGCAGTTCTTGCCCTGACGATCCCCAGGGCTGGGCCAGCCGTTTACTTCTGCCTCCTCCACCTCTCGCGCCCCGAGGGTGCTGTATTTGCAAAGTTTCTGCAAAGTGGTGAATGAGGAACTTGCACCATGACCGAAGTGAAAAAGGGCAGGGACTGTGTCTTTTTCAATTCAATAGAACAAGAGGAAGGAAGTGCTAACTCGCCCTGCGATCATCAGGTGCGCCAGACCAGAGTTATTTTCAAAGGGGCTCCCGGCCGCCTCTCTGGACACCACGGAGAGCTGCACGCGCTGCACCGGGCAGCCTGGCGGTGTGGTGAGCTCAAGACTGGCTTCAGAACTGGCTCAGATCAGAACCAGCTTCCGCCCCAGCCGCGCCTCTTCCTTTGTGCTTTCATTCACAAAAGCAGGCCTATCTAAGCCCAGTTTCCTCACAGGGGCAGATACACTATGTGGGCTCTTTAAGGCAGGATTGGTCTTATTTTTGTGTGCAGACTTAAGCACACATCACCTGTCACTCAGAAAACCCTCAGTAAATACTTATTTACTTAACTGAATGTGTGCCTTACCTGAGTCACGGACTCAAAGCAGGTACGGGAGTGAGGCCTCCGGAGATTGTTCCAAAACATCCTGAACAGACAGAAGGAGCAAGGTCCTGCAGATGTTGTCGCCTGGGTCTTCCAGCCATATTTTTCATCTCTTTTAAAATTAGCCTCAGAGAGTGCACGTCTGCCCTAGAAAGGAGTAGAAAGAGGTCCCTTACTTGTGCTCTTTAATTCAGAGGGCACGCCCCATCCAGGGGCTTGTGCAGCCCCAGTGCTCACCAGCAGCTGGAAAGGACCTCGCGATCATCTGGGTTACAGCTGCCCTTTAAGATAAGAAAACAGACTGCTCGAATGTCCCATGACTTGCTAGCACAAAGAACCCAGGCAGCTAGAACCCAGTTCTACTGGCTTCTAGTCCAGTATCTCTCCACTCTGCTATGTTCTTTCTTAAGCCAAGTGTGTTTTGTCCTTATAAGCTGGCTCAGTGTGCTACCTCCAGCTAAGTTTCCAAGCTGTCAAAGTTTAGAGTAGTAACTCACTCCTCCCACACAGGCTGGGTGTGAAAATGCATAAATAAAAACGTCAGAAGGTACTCTGAAAAAATGGGAATTATTTTGGGTGGTGCTGATTGTGTAGTATACATTTGATTCCTCTTTTTCCTTCTTGTATTTTTAGTTATATTTCTCAGCAGTACCTTGGGGATTACGATTAACACCTTAAATTTATCACAACTCATTTGAATAATACCAACTTATTTCAATAATATGCACTCTGCTCACATGCACCTTTCCTCCTTCCATATGCTGTTATCACCACGGATTACATCTTTAGACACGTAGACCCACTAACAGAAACTTACAATCATTGTTTTATGCATTGACTATTAAACCATTAATATATAGGAAAATGAAAGGAGTTACATCAGAAATGCAATGATAACTGGATTATACTTATCAGTATAGTTGTCTTAACAATGTTTTTTATTTCTTGTGTTTCAATTTACTATCTACTTCATTTCAGCCTGAAGGATTCCTTTGACATTTTGTTCTTTGTTTTTTAGAGATGAGGTCTCCATCCTATCACCAGGCTGAAGTGGCAGTTGTACAATTAGCTCACTGCAGCCCGAACTTCTGAGCTCAAAGTAATCCTTCCACTTCAGCCTTCCCTAGTAGCTGGAATACAGGTGTGTCACCACCATGCCAGGTCCTTTATATTCTTATATCAGTTTACTAGTAATGAACTCCCTCAGCCTATGTTATCTGGAAATGTCTTAATTTTCTTTTTCTGACAGGCAGTTTCCAGATATTTATTCTTGTTTCTCTTTTTTTTTTACTTTAAAACCATTTTCCTAGAAGGATCCGCAGGCTTGCCAGACTGCTCTAACAATAGAGGCCCAAGCTTTCTGATCCCTGTATTAGAATCCTGTGGCTACTGCTAACAAAGTACCACGACCTTCGTGCTTCAAACAGCAAACATTCGTTCTCTCGAAGTTCTAGAGACGAGAAGCCCAACATCAGCATCCCTGGGCTGAAATCCAGGTGTCATCAGGACCCTTGTCCCTTGGGGAGGCTCTAGAGGAGAAAGCCAGTACTGCCTCTTCTAACTTCTGGCAGCTGCCACGTTCCGTGGCTGATGGCCACATCACACCAATCTCTGCCTCTGCCTTCACGTGGCCTCTCCTGTATGTGCCCTGTCCCTCTGCCTCTTTCCTATAAAAATGCTTCTGATGGGACTTAGGGCCCATAAAAAGGATGACCTCATCTCAAGGTCCTTAACCTAATCATATCTGCAAAGATCTTTTTTCCAAATAAGGGTAACATTTATAGGTTCCAGGAACTAGGACCCGATGTGTCTGCGGCCACCATTCAGCCCACTGTAGTCCCTACATTTAATTCTTTATTGACCATACAATTCTGGCCTTGAGTCTTATGACATAAGAGACATAAACTGACTTCAGAGATGTGACAAAACTGGCACCAAATTAAAACAGGTATCCGTGTCAAAGACCATTGAAATTGTTAAGGGTTAAGGTAATGGTGAAAGAAAAGACAAGGCCTTTTAAAAATTAAGTTTTCCCAAGGGCTAGAAGAGGAAACCGGCCTGTTTCTTCACCTCCGGATGAAGAAAGTGCACATCGTGCAAACCTGCAGCTAGAGCAGTTCTTGGGCCCTGACGATCCCCCAGGCCTGGGCCAGCCGTTCTACTTCTGCCTCCTCCACCTCTCGCCCGCCCCGAGGGTGCTGTATTTGCAAAGTTTCTGCAAAGTGGTGAATGAGGAACTTGCACCACTGACCAGAAGTGAAAAAGGGCAGGGACTGTGTCTTTTTCAATTCAATAGAACAAGAGGAAGGAAGTGCTAACTTCGCCCTGCAATCATCAGGTGCGCCAGACCAGAGTTTATTTTCAAAGGGGGCTCCCCTGCCGCCTCTTCTGGACACCACGGAGAGCTGCACGCGCTGCACCGGGCAGCCTGGCGGTGTGGTGAGCTCAAGACTGGCTTCAGAACTGGCTCAGATCAGAACCAGCTTCCGCCCCAGCCGCGCCTCTTCCTTTGTGCTTTCATTCACAAAAGCAGGCCTATCTAAGCCCCAGTTTCCTCACAGGGGCAGATACACTATGTGGGCTCTTTAAAGGCAGGATTTGGTCTTATTTTTGTGTGCAGACGTAAGCACACATCACCTGTCACTCAGAAAACCCTCAGTAAATACTTATTTACTTCAACTGAATGTGTGCCTTACCTGAGTCACGGACTCAAAGCAGGTACGGGGAGTGAGGCCTCCGGAGATTGTTCCAAAACATTCTGAACAGACAGAAGGGAGCAAGGTCCTGCAGATGTTGTCGCCTGGGTCCCTTCCAGCCATATATTTTCATCTCTTTTAAAATTAGCCTCAGAGAGTGCACGTCTGCCCTAGAAAGGAGTAGAAAGAGGTCTCCCTTACTTGTGCTCTTTAATTCAGAGGGCACGCCCCATCCAGGGGGCTTTGTGCAAGCCCCAGAGCTCACCAGCAGCTGGAAGGGACCTCTGCGATCATCTGGGTTACCATTAACAGCTGCCCTTTACAGATAAGAAAACAGACTGCTCGAATGTCCCATGACTTGCTAGCACAAAGAACCCAGGCAGCTAGAACCCAGTTCTACTGGCTTCTAGTCCAGTAATCTCTCCACTCTGCTATGTCCTTTCTTTAAGCCAAGGTGTGTATTTGTCCTTATAAAGCTGGCTCAGTGTGCTACCTCCCAGCTAAGTTTTCCAAGCTGTCAAAGTTTAGAGTACGTAACTCACTCCTCCCACACAGGCTGGGTTGTGAAAATGCATAAATAAAAACCATCAGAAGGTACTCTGAAAAAATGGGGAATATTTTTGGTGTGCTTGATTGTGTAGTATACCATTTGATTCCCTTCTTTTTTCCTTCTTGTAATTTTTTAGTTATTTTCTCAGCAGTAACCTTGGGGATTACGATTAACATCTTAAATTTATCACAACCTCATTTGAATAATACCAACTTATTTTCAATAATATGCACTCTGCTCACATGCAACTCCTTTCCTCCTTCCATATGCTGTTATCACCACAGATTACATCTTTAGACACTGTAGACCCACTAACAGAAACTTACAATCATTGTTTTATGCATTTGACTATTAACCATTAATATATAGGAAAATGAAAGGAGTTACATCAGAAATGCAATGATAACTGGATTTTATACTTATCAGTATAGTTGCCTTAACCAATGTTCTTTATTTTTCTTGTGGTTTCAATTTACTATCTACTTCCATTTCAGCCTGAAGGATTCCTTTTGACATTTTGTTTCTTTGTTTTTTAGAGATGAGGTCTCACTCTATCACCCAGGCTGAAGTGCAGTGGTACAATCATAGCTCACTGCAACCTCGAACTTCTGAGCTCAAGTAATCCTTCCACCTCAGCCTCCCTAGTAGCTGGGAATACAGGTGTGCACCACCATGCCAGGCTCCTTTTAATATTTCTTATATCAAGTTTACTAGTAATGAACTCCCTCAGCCTATGTTTATCTGGAAATGTCTTAATTTTCCTTTTTTTCTGACAGGCAGTTTTGCCAGATATATTATTCTTGTTTTCCTTTTTTTTTTTTCTTTCAGGACTTTCAATATGAAGTTCTGGTCTCCATGGCTTCCAAGGAGCAATCAGCTGTTACATTATTGAAAATTCCTTGTACATGATGAGTGGCTTTTCTCTTGCTACTTTCAAAATTCTCTCTTTGTCTTTGGATTTCAACAACTTGACTGTAATGTGTCTCCATGCAGATCTCTTTGAATTTATTCCTCCTAGAGTTCATTTAGCTTCTTGGATGTGTGTTTTCATATACTTCCTCTCATTTGGGAAGTTTGCAGCCATTGTTTATTCAAATATTTTTTCTTCCCCTTTCTCTCTTTTTTCTCCTTTTGGAACTCCTATAATTCATGTTAGTATGTTTGACTGTATCTAACACGTCCCTAATGTCAGTTTATTTTTCTTCATTTTTTTTTCTTTCTGCTCCTTGGACTGGATAATTTCAATTGTTTTATCTTCAGGTTCATTGATCCTATATTTTGCCTGCTCACATCTGCTGTTGAACCCCTCTAGAAAGTTTTTCATTTCAGTTATTGTACTTTTCAGGTTTTCTGTTTGCTTCCTTTTTGTAATTTCTACCTCTTTGTTGACACTCTCATTTTGTTCGTTCATCGTTTTCCTGATTTCCTTTAGTTCTTTATCCATGTGTTCCGTTAACTCATTGAACATATTTAAGACAGCCAATTCAACATCCTCAATCACTCCTGTGTCTGAGATTCATAGGGATGACTTCTGTCAAAGTTTTTTTCATGTGAATGGGCCATATCTCCCTGTTTCTTTGTATATTTTATATTTTTGTGGTTGTTAGGAACTGGGCATTTTGAGTATTACATTGTGATAACCCTAGAGATCTAATTCTCCCACACCTCTGGGATTTCCAGATCTTGCTTTTTGAGGGCTGGAGCAAACCATTTCTAACTTTTCCAAAGTATTTTTGTAATGTGTATTCCTTGTTTTTCATGGTCATTTATCTCTGTAGTTAGCCAATGACCTGACAAAGATTTCCAAAATATCTGCCTCTTCAAAGTGGGGTAAGGGACAGCTGGGGGAAAAATAGGGCCTGTCTCTTGAAATTCCCTCAGCAGGTGCTTCAGCCCATGGGGGAAACAATGGCCAACCTCTGCACCAGCCCCTCGCTGGTCAAACCAGTGAGCAGCAATCAAAACACTAAATCCCAATTTGTGGAGGACAAAGTTCCTATTGCCCACCTAGCTACAGAAAGCCACACCAGGAATACATGCCACTGCCCCTGTGGCAAGCTAGGAGAAAGGGGATTATAGCCAGGACTGGACAAAAAGCTGAAATTCACTGAAAATTGTCAGCTTCTTTATCAAGCCCTGCCCTGGATGCTCAAGTGTTCTACCAGACTCCGGAGTTCCAAAGTGGTTGCTTCGGACTGTTCCTGCCAGCTCAGTTGACATCCTTGTGGAGGGGCAGATCCTAGCACTTCCTCCTCCACCATCTCCCTGTGACGTCACTCAGGAGTGCCTGATTTTGATTTAAAAACAAGACAGAGAACATAATTACTGATTCAAGGTTCAAAGTACCTGCTTTTCCCAAACATGAGAAAACATGTCATCAGAGTGGGTCTTGACTTTCTCGTGGTCTCTCAAGAGGGATTCAAAAACCCAGTGATTTCTGTCTCCCATCTCTAAGTCACATACATTCTAAAAATCCCTTTAGAGGATGGGAAAAGTATAAAACATGCTAGCCAATAACATGATGCGAGGGAAAAAAAAACTAAAAGCTAGAAGAGTCTACCTGGAAGGTCAGTACTGAGAGACCTAAGTGATGTCACTCAACAAGGTGCACCTTCCAGGGCATCAGAAGAGAAAACCGGTTCTCAAAATGAAGAAATGTTTGATCCAGAGAAACACTGAGTCTGAGGGCAGAGAAGCTCCGGACCTCCCCATACTCACTGGACGCACCCTTCACTTAGCACTGGCTGCTGGTGGCTCGTGCCATCCCCATCTCGTGGTCCTGCTTGGTCATTTAACTTGCATATCATTTAACTATGCTAGGACATGTGTTCTTTGCTCCAGAATAATTATATCCCTCTTGAGGACAAGAATAACATTTCTTAAAAATTATAATTAAGCTGGAGGAGGAGGAAGAGGAGATGCGGAAGAAGGTATTAGCTTCCCAGGACTGCCATAACAGATTACCACACACTTGCCAGCTCAAAACAACAAAAAGTTATTCTCTCACAGTTTTGGAGACCAAAAGTCCAAAATCAAGGTGTCGCAGGGCTTCCTCTGAAGGCTCCAAATACTTCCTTGCCTCTTCTAGCTTCTGGCGGCTCCACGCATTTTTCATCCTAAGGCGGCATAACTTCAATCTCTGCCCCATCTCCACAAGGCCTTCTCCCTGTGTGTCTGTGTGTCTGTCTCTCAGTTCCAGTCTCCTATAAGGGTACCAGTCACTGGATTTAGGTCCCACTCCAAAACCGGGATAATCTCATCTCAAGATCCTATCCTAAACTGCAACCTCAAAACCCTCGTTCCAAATAAAATCACATTTACAAGTATCAAGGTATGGTATAATACAAAAATATATCTGGTCTTTTCCCCAGATTCCTGGCACAGAGTTCTTAAAACCTTTGAAATGTCCCGAGTGATGGGAATGTCTTCTGTTATTCATAATGAGCCCCTGTGGACCACGCCTGAGTTTATGCTAATGAGGTGACTTAAGATGGGGCCCCTAGTTAGACAAAGCTGGTCACAGACAGACAAGCGATTAGAAGGTTGGAAATGGCAGCCCCACACCTTGGCCTCCAAGAAGGGGATAGAGGACTTAGAGGTTAAGCTCTATAAAATCCCTTGAACAATGAGATTAGGAGAGTTTCTGGGCTGGTGAGCAAGTCCAGGTGCGAGAAGGGAGACGCACCAGAGAGAGAATAGAAGCCCTGTGTCCCTACCCCATACCTTGCCCTGTGCATCTCTTCCATCTGGCTGTTCCTGAGTTGTAGCCTTTACAATCAACCAGTAAGCATAAGTGAACTGTTTTCTTGAGTGCTGTGAACTATTCCAGCAAATTATTGAACCGGGTTGGGGGAGGAGGTATCAGACTAGTGAACCAGGGATGGGGGGTACTTCTGATTCATAGGTACCCCATCAGAAGTATGGGTAACCTGAGACTTGCAACTAGCATCTGAAGTTGGGGGCAGTCTTGTGGGATTGAGCCTTAACCTGTGGAGTCTGCATTAACTCCAGGGAGTCAGTGTGAGGATTGAGTTGAATTGTTGGACATCCAGTTTCGGTGATGGAGAATTGGTTGGTTTCAGAGAAAACATGCCACACAGAGGTTAGGACATATCTTTTGGGGTTGTATATAATTCAACCAAACACAAAGGAGAAGAGAAAGAAGTATGATACTTGTTTTCCCACAAACCTAATAGTACTGAGCACATATTATTAATAATTAAATCTATGGATGTGTTATTCATGAAATCAACCTATGAAGGCAAAGAAGAGAGGTCAGGAGGTGGAGGCTTGCCTCTGGTTAAATGTGAGATCTCTGCACAAATTCTATTTAGAAAAATGGCAAGACTTCTTCAGGACTTCCTACACCTTCCCCTCAATCCTGAGTTTACACTACAGGTGACTTTGGGGAGGATGAGCAGGAAATACGGACAACATGTCATGAGGGTGAACTCTGTGAGCTGACTGCTGGAAGTGTGACAGCCGCCAGAGCCCAGGGAGCAGGCAAAGAACTGGACCCACATGTAGGCCCCTCTCACAATTCCCTCCTTGGAATGTCCCCTGCAGTTTCTCACCATTAAAAAAACAGGTGATTTAGGTTCAAGGCCAAGGTCAGGCAAC